TAATCAGTACGAGTCTGACTATTTCCTCTCGCCTCAACCGGGCGGGAGAAGGCATTGTATGATTTTCCCCCCTCAAAAAACCCATTCTGGATACTTACATCCATTGTGTTTACTGTGATGTGTATTGTGTGAATATTATTTGGACTATTATAGCTGGCATCGGACTAACTTTCCGACTGTGGCTTATAATTTCGATTTTTTGAGATTTTTAATAAAAACTAGTATCTTACAGCTATGACTTCCGATAAAGTATTTGGCACTTTCTATATTCAAAGCCTCACCTCGTTTGTGCGGTGTGTAGAGAGGGTAGGTATAGACGGGGTATGTTGCTTTAATAATTATCCTTTGCCGTCCAAAACAAAGATAGGGTGTTGGATATCGATGTCATTGAGGCTACTACGGTCCCTTTGTACAAAATATAATAACTTCATAACTTTGTGCATGTGTTTACCTACTTAGATAAGCTCCGCTTCTCTATTGGTCGACCGTCATTAAGAGGTCTGGCAATGTCCGGGTCAGGAAAAGTAAACACTATTGAGTTTTTCAGTTTTCCAAAAATTCTTCTTGTTCTCTGTCTGATTTGAGTGTTTGGTTTAGGAATATCTCGCTACATTTTTGAGATCTGCATTCTTCGTTTTATTGGGTGTTTATTCTGTGTACATGAAAATAATAACATGCAATAAACGTTCATAACCTTATCTTTTAATATTATTCACAATTCCCTATATGAAGTAATAGACAAATTAAAGTTTAATAGTTTTGTTGTTCAATTCTACTTATCTACAATAATGTTCAAATTTCGTGAACATACAACAACGAGTAATTACAAACAAAAAGGATGGGAGAGCCATGCTGCGGCACGAATCACTCCCCTCCCCATTCTCCTCAATCCCTGAATCCCCAACAATCATCAAATTCCTAATCTCCAAAAGGCCGGTAATGCACTTGTAACGCCTCTGGTGTTTTGGGTGTCCATGGGTGGTGCCGATTGCTCACTATCAGGTGATCCTTCGTTTACTGGCTTATCCTATAAAAAATCATGCATAAAAACGTAGGAGTCTAAGTTCACAAGTACCTACATACTCTTTAAGTTTTGTTATTATAACATCACGGCAGTCGCACTTGCGACCACTCGGCCAACGAGGCAGTCACCCTTTAAGTCTTGAAGATAAGTTATTAATCAATGTAAGTTATTAATGATTGTCTTAAACGAATTAATTACGTAAACATTAATTTTATTCTTTTAGTAAGCACTTTTATTGATGTTTTCGTAAATCGACAATGAACATTTATATTATGTACTTCGCCCGATATGGAAGTTAATAAAATTGGCATGGGATTAAACGTATTTCATCAGTAGAATTAATGATATAAAATGCCAATGAGTAATTGAAGTTTGAAGTAAGTGCCAAAGTGTTAATGTAGAGGTAATTAAAATAAGTTAATTTGCTGCTGGGCAGAAAGCATTGTATGAAATCAATCAGTGGGCATAAAATTAGTGCGTGGTAATAACCAAGCATTAATTTTACTCTCACGTTAAATTTTCAAAAGAATTTTCGTTGAAAGTACTTGCAAGGAATTTGTAACCGTACACCTTCGTGGAGTATTCCATAAAAATTGGTCGAACCGCACATGTCGTGGTCGTGAGAAACCAACTGTTAAAATAGCCAGTTTCAATGGCTTCATATCAAATATCTGCATAGCCAATAACAAAGACCCAATCATGAATAATCGGCTGATCCATGTAATGTTATGGAAGCGAAATGAGTCCTTACGTTTACGGGGATACATAAAAATAAATATATGTGCTGTGAATATAACAATGTCACTTAAAAGCATAATTGGGTAACAAAATTAACTTGTTTGTGTTTTGTAATATGAACCTGATAAATACGTTACCTATATACCATTACCTATGTAGGTACATAGTTGAGTTTGGACGTTTTCTACACAAGAGCAGTATTAGCAACGTTTTCATAAAATGTGTTATTTTGGTTACAATTTATGACTAAATAAATTTGGTATTTGACACAGTGGCCAGTGCTACTATGGCACAGCTCTACGCGCTTCGGAGAATTCATAGGGCCAATAGCTTTGAACTCGCGAGTCGGGGAGACGGCTTCATTTTACATTGATTGCAAAAATTGCTTCGTGAAATAGCGCGGCCGGTACAAAATACAGCTGCGAGATCCAAATTGACTTCAAAATCGCTTTTCCTCTAAGCCTGTGTTTCAACGAAATCGATTTTCAAGAACGGAATGAATTCAAAAAAGTACTATTTCATTTACCATATTTACCAACGTGTGATGTACAAAACAGCTAATACATTAAAAATGGGATTAATTTACATATTTTAATTGTGTGTGAAAACTTGGCTTTTGTTTTTCTCGTCAAAGTAAACGATTGATTAAATGTCAGTTACTTGATACAACTTGATACTTACTGTTATAGCTATTTCTTCTCTGTTTATCATAACCTTATTCCGCCTTATTGAATATGTGAGTACCTATATAGTACATACATACTTGGAAAACTCATTGCATTCAGAGACCAAACAAACTTAAAAATCTAACGAAGAGTAGCCGATGCATGGAAAAGATATTGATATAGACGGGGATATTTAAAAGCGAATACTTTCCCATAGCAGCTAAGAAAAAAATGTTCTACTCATGCGTATTGCCATGCCTGACATATGGATGCCAAACTTAGGCACTGAACCAGAAACCTTTTTTAAGACTGAGAACATGTCAGAGCGTTATGGGAAGAAGTATAATAGTATAGGCGATACAAAAAGAGATCACATAAGATCAGAAGAGCATAACCAAGGTAGAAGATATAATAAAGAAAGTAAGTCAGTTAAAATCGGGACGGACCGGACATATGTCAAGAGATAACAGAATAAAGTGGTATATGTGTGTGATAACAGAATAAATCGTAACAAAATGGTATCCACGGGATGGTAAAAGAAGATGAGGCAGACAAGCAAAAACATGGATGGACGATATAAGAAAAGTCGGATACGTGGCCAAGAAAAGCTAGAGACTGAGACGAGTGAAAAAGCTGGGAGAGTCCTATGTGCCGCAGGACACGCTGATTAATAAATAGGATAACTCATGTGTTAGTTTATAAGTTAGACTAATGTCTAGTTTTTAGTAATAAAGGATTATTATTATTATTATAATTCGATACTTACTACCTCTACAATACAAATGACATGGTGAATTTTTGCCATACCCCAATGCCATACCGCAATTTCTCCCAGAGATTTGATTCTAAATCATAGTAAAATAGAAATCTATAACCATGCCATATTTTTTCTTTACTATCAGGTATTACCACAAGGTAATTTGCATCATTCGCTTTGCCTTCGCGATGTAAATAAAAACGGATAGGCAGTTCAGGGAACTTTAGATGAGTCTCACTAGCGTGCAAATACGAATCCTTGCCAGATGGTGAAAAATACTTGGGAAAAAGAGAAGGAAACGAAAAATGCAATTTGTAAAGTCGTTATGAGTTAGAGCCGTGTTGCAGAGAGCAAAAAAAGTATGTTTTTCAACTAACAGTCGGTACCTAGGTATTAGGTGCTGGGAATTTAGTCCAGTGCAAATAGGTCCAACGCATCTTCTCGGGTTTCCTGTACCGTAGTCGGCACGTTTCGTAATCAGCTTTAAACTTTTATAGAAAACTTAATTTTCAACTAAGCCCGAGCTGTTACGATCTCTTTCGTTTTTTGTTCGTAAAAGCGATAGTTTTTCACGTTTAAACTTGAGATGGTGTAACGAATACTTGTTTACATAAATAACATATTATTTTGTAACATTTTTTTTTTTCTTTCAAAAACACTAATAATAAAAATAGTGCTATCTCCTAAGTGACGTGAGCGACCACAGAACTTAATACTGCGATCTAAACATAATTATTTCTTTGAATTTGTCCACGTTGAGATGCCCCAGGAGTTTTCATGAAGTCAATCAATTAAGGTTAGGTCTTTTTCAACCAAATCGGATTAGACTGAAAATATTTTATCTAGCCTGAATTTGTCAGTTATGCTCGAGGCTACTAGTTCCAAAGTCCAACAATACAATAACATTATTATATATGTACTTACATATATACTAAGTTATATTATTCCTATACATACATTTACATAATAATAATTATTATTGATCTTTAGTACAAAAATATTATACATCAATACGTGGATGTTTGTATATAATTTTTCTCTAACGCGAAATGTGTTGATCTTAATGTTGTGTAAAATGGTTGGTAGAAGCAGAAGACGGAAAAGTTCAACTTGCTCAGCGGTCCGTATACACAAGATGACGAATATTAAAATATTCGCTTTTAAGAAATGTGAAAAAGAGGTTCTCAATTTGAATTATTAATGTGAAAAATCCAAATAAATAGGTTTTTTAAGACCATTTCATGTTTTTTTGAGTTTCGAACGAGGAATATTGCATATATCTTTCTTATACACGCTCTTCTATGAACGGAGGGTGGGGTAATCCACGGTGGTAATCATAGGCACAAATAGGTATGTGATATGGTCCCGTAACTCTTGAAAAATAATTTAATCCTAATTTTAATCTTTTATATCTGATTATTATGAAGTTTCATGCGCAAATTGTAAAAAATATTTTTTTTACAACAGTTTCGTTTACTTTTCCAATTTCTTTTTATATTACGCAACAATTCAGAATACATAATTGCGATAATATACTCTTAGGCGTCAATGTGAAGATTAACTGTCTATTGACAGATTGCGCGAAAAAATATGTATCATATTAAGTAAGTAATGTGAAAAAAGGCTGACAACGTAAGCTATAGGCGTCTGGACAACTGTTGAACGCATCTGCGTGTTCGAAGTCCGCGTTTTCTTCGGCACGTCGTATATACAGCGGCGCGGAGGAGCGGAGCGCTCAGTTCAGCTTTGGCCGCCGTTTGGGCCAGTCGTCTTCTTCGCGAGCATCCGCACACCGAACTTCGTGTAGTGCGCGAATATGAAGTGCATAACTATTTTTATGTTGACTTTAACCGTAGCGCTAAATGTTTTTGGGGCCGAAATTCAAATCCGTGATGAACTGCAAGCTGTAGCCGAGCAGATCTCTATCCTCAAGACGATGCATAATACCGATGTGTCCGATATGAAAAAGGATATTGACGACCTAAAGTAAGTAAAACTAAATTTTAATTTTGTTTTATGTTCTTTTGTTTATTTATTGTTTTTGTTTATTTGGGGATATTTTATAAATTCAGTTCTTTTTGGTTTTACAAATGTCATAAAGTTTATAAGTTGGGATTTTTCATCCTTTAGGCCATTGCCGGTTGCCGGATTTCGCGCGCTTTCCTCGTCCTTTCCGCTGCTGTTTATAATTAAAAAGTTCAATTTCAAGCTTTACAATGCCGAGCGAGTGACTTGTGGCCATTGCGATTTTATATAATATCTAATTGCCGTGGCGCACGACGATGGTTTCCCATTACTTTAAATTATTTAAAATTTTCGTGTAACTAACACGATATTCTGTAATTTAAAATTTTGTTGTTATTTTATGTATGTTATTTTAAAACTATAATTTTTATTTAATGTCGTTAGGTCTTATAACGATTTTACGTAAAACTTTTTTTATTAATTTATAGTGTTTATTTCTCGTCCAAAATTATAATTTTATATTTTTTGGGGTCACTATACTTATTTTAAAAAAATATAAATTTATTAAATAATATTAATATACATGTACGTATAAAATTTTAAAACGAGTTATAAAATCGTAGCCTACAATTGTAATAAATCATAAACTATATTAGGTACTTCATATAAAGCATGTAGCTGGGTATAATATAGTGCACAAAAGGGGTCTCCGCAATAGATATAAGGATCCCACAATGTCTTTACGATTTTGGTTATCGCCGATGATTGGGTCCTCCATATATTATGCATTATTTATGAGCACTTATGATATTTCCTTTTGGACTGTGGCGTATCCTTTTGGAAATGTGTTTTGGCAGAAATTCAATAAAATAATTGATAAATGTTGAAATTGTTTGAGGTAGTAAAAGTCTTCCTTTTACAGCAGATTAATAAAAAATGTAGGAGAACGAGTCAGGCTCACTTTATAGCCGCTCGAGTACGTTAGGGATTGCAAAGTTACACGCCGTCACATCGAACATTCACGAGACTCTTTCACTGTCTGAAAGTGAGAGAAAATTATAAAACTTCTGTTAATTTTGAGATCGTCATCTATCTATATATATAAAAATGAAACCCCTTTCCCGTTGTCACGTCATAACTTGAGAACGGCTAGACCGATTTGGCTGATTTTTCTTTGTTGTGTTTGTTATTGTCAGGAGAAGGTTCTTATGACGGAAAAAATCCTGAAAATCTTATGGGAACGGGAGAAAACGGGATTACGCGTACGAAGTCGCGGGCAGAAGCTAGTATATTATAGAGCTTTAGTAAGAAATTTTCTAAAGCTCTATTGTATGAGTTAGTTGAGGTATTAACTTCGCCTGAAGGCTGCGGTTCTCTTTACATGTCTAGACGAGCACAGTATACTTAATATTATTCTCATAATTTATTACTTTCGTTAATTGTGTCCTTACGCAAACTGATGAAATAAGACCGAATCTCCAAAATGACATTTCATAAAAAAAAACTCCATGGAAGTTACTGAAAAATGAAATTGGCAAATACTTAAATATTCTATATAGAATTTATGTCTTTATTTTTTACCATTTGGTAGTAGCTTATATATTAAAAAGGTCAATAAAGAGATAGGATAAATGGAATCTTATACTCTTATAATTGCCAGCTAGATCTCAAGAGGCACAAAACCAGTTGCAAAAAACTGGCAATTATTATAGTTTTGCTTACTGTGTCAAAGGACTCAATGATACCAATTCTTCCGATCCACGGTTCGAAAGTGGGTGTGGTCATTGCTTTTGCCCATCAGAACAGACTTTTGTTTCTATTAACCATTGGATATGCCAAACCTCTAAATAAGCCAATCCGATAATTTAAAACCGGACATCTATAAGAAAATAGTTCAAAACCTCGATAATTTCGATACACTTCAGCAGTTATAAAAAGGGTATTTCAGACAATAAAATAAATTGGAAACAAGATGTAAACGCGACGTGGGTGTCAACAGATAAATTCGCAAGTTTGACGAATAGTTGCACCGCGGCGCGGAGTAAGCGTGGGGTCGCGCTCGCGCAGGTGTTCCCCTGACACCACACAAATGGTTGATATGACACCATTACGTGACGGTGCTATATTCATAACACAACCGAGTCATGTACAGTAATTTCTCCACTCCCACGGCCGTCTCGTTATAAATAAATAATTGATTTCGTCTCAACGCCTCGAATAAGGGTTCATATAAATTGGAGCGGGTGGCTATACTTGTCATCTTGTACTACGTTCAGTAATACATTGCTCACAGCGCGATTACATTATGCCCGCAACGTTTTCAACACAGTTCATTATTAAATGATCCAGTTGCGTCATGTTTACGGAAACCTAAAACTTGACTTAGCAAATTCGAAACTAAGTTACCGAGATATTTATTGCCTACTCTAAACAAATACTCCAATATTATTAAACAAAACAAAAGGTTTACAAGATTAAAATTTTGCGAAGCGGAGTTCGTTAGTATTTGGCAGAAACAACAAAGCAATCTCAAAGTTGTTAAGCTCTTGAATCGAAAACGGGTCAAGAGTAATTTTTACGGCACCAGGAGAGGCCACAATGACCCTACACAAGGTGTTATAGGGTTTTCATATTAATAAGAGCGATTTTTTTCACCGATTGGACCCACGAAATTAGAAAGACATTAAATGCGGCAGCGAAAATTAATCAAAAATAACTTAAAAATAAAGAATAGTCCAAAAATTATTTTATATCATCAAGAATACATAGTTAAAACATTTATTTTATATCATCAGTAAATACACATATGGGAGTCTGTTACTTCATGCAGAATATTGTAAGTTGCTTATGTATGTAGTAAATTGATTCAAGTGATGCAAAGTCATACAGGAGATGGTGACGGCGAGGAAATGCGGAAGTTTTAACGGAGCATTACGAAGTGTAAGTGGAGTGGTGCGGAGGGCGTGTCTCCGGCGGAGGTGTCGCGGCTGCCGGACGGCCGCGGCGGCGGCGTGCCCCCAGGACCTGTAATGGCTCACGCCCGCGGCTTTGAAGTCTTGCAAGACGTGTCATAATATAAAACTTGTAAACGCAGGAGTGGTTCGAGATTGCCGGGAACCAAGGACCTCTTGAAGCGAACCAGGCCATCTGATCGACACGATTATTCCTCTTCGTCTTTCCCTTCGGGGATTTATAAAAGACATCGTCGTTTTTATTTTTTCTCTCGATACGCTGCTGAAAAATTAAAGCTCAAGGGCCGCTCGATGTGATGCGCACTTACTAACGAATTTTTGTCTATTCTTCCTGCTTTAATAATTTTCATAAAATATCTCTTGTTTTGTTTGAGTTTTATGCTGGAGGTCGGCCTTTTGATTTGTTTAATAGACCATCTATTTATTTATTAATAAGGCTCAATACATGACCTAGTTACTGATTATAATAATAAGTACGCGTTTGGTACTTTTACTTTCTCACCCACTGTCATCAGTGTGACAGGTTCTATCTGGCATTATTGCCGTTTGATGAAGTTTCAAAAGAGCTCCCATATTGCATGTAAAAGCAGTCTGTGAGATTGTGTGTGAACTTTTGACGATCAAAAAAGGGTTTCAAATGTAGAACGTTTGTAGAGCGGGGCTGGCATTTTTTAGCCCATTTTTCATAAATCTTGCTGTATAATGCAAATTATGAACGTTGAAAGCAGTTTGTACCGCGTCCTTAGCCATGCATCTTATTTTCTTTGGCGGCTGCTAACGTGACAAGACGTTTTTCGCGAGACGTCACACATCTGAAACACACGTCTCACCTCGCCACCATAATAGCATTTAGGAGTTTAATGTTAATGTATTCATTTTTTTTTCGTAAGTCTACGAATGGTAAGAGATTGGTACACCATATGTTGTTTACGTATAATTGGCAGTAAATTAAGCTCTATCTATGAAAAGCACCTGCGAATACTGAGAAGCGGTGGTTCTTGATAACTAGCTTATGAAGCAGATAAAATTAAGTCTTATACACAGGGAATTAGGATTTAAAATGTATGGTAGATAAAAAGGTAGCTATAGATAGAATATTACATCTCGTGTGCCAGATGAGTTTGCATCTGGGAACTGCAAAGGTACCCGTTTGCATACTTGAAATTCAACGTCGCCAGCTGTAGATATCACTTTTGTTTATCGATTTTTATTAAGTCGCCAGTTTATTTTTACTCAGAGAACTGCACAACCTTTAGTTGCTATCCTCGTTTTAAGTTAATGTTGACTATATTAATAAATTGTATAATGTGTAAGAAGCATACCATACACTTCGTCCGTGATAAGTATTTTTTGGGCACGTGTACAATATGAAATGACATTTTCACTCCGGTGTACCTAATATGAGCATGCACAATTGCTATATTGTGCGTGCTAATAAAATGATTATAGTTATTAATCAACTAATTGTAATCCTTCAAGGTTTCGATAAAGTTTATAAGTATCAACTCAAATTACTTAAAAGTTTAAAATTAGCACTGGGTCACACAATCACTACCGAACCCCTTCGAAGAAGAACAGGTGTGGAAGTTTTAAAATATGATAATGTCACCGTCATAAAAGTATGAACAATAACGTAATATCTTACAAGCGAATTAATATTTTTTATAGATCATTCTAGAACTTGTAACATGGGTAAAACGTTTTATTACACAAGGACGCGAGACCGCACAGGACTTGTTTTTTGTAGGAGTGTCGCATTTCTTCGTGCTTTATTTTTAAAACAATTCACATGTGCTTGTTCCTTTATGTCATTACCTGTTAAACTTAGGAGGTTCATTGACTTCAGTACTAGTCCGTATTCAGTATCAATGACGAAAATCATCGAATTACTTCTCGCGCCTGTGTGAGGCGGAAGGGAGTGTCTGACTCTTACTGACTAAAAACCACCCCATTCCTTCTCCTGCACTTCGAGCCGGAGCCCCGGTTACCCGTTAGGTTCTCCGACTCTCTCGACTCCGATGCCCTGGCCATGAGTATCCATTGTCGGTC